TCATCATTCCCGTCTGTGAGGCTCGGATTTCTGAGATGTCCTCAAAAATGTTTTGGGGTCTAGTGTACTACTCAATAGATGGTAATCAGTAGAGGAGTTGTTCCTGTTAAGTCATCCAGGGCTCTTTTACTTTTACTTGACCAGGGAAATATCCTTCTTTTATATTGTAATTCTGAATAGTACACCTCGTGCCTTATTCATATGCAGGAAGGTGTCAACCTTCTTTTCCTTATCTGTACTTTCATGCTCCATGAACACTGAGCTGGCCATTTTTCAGAGGTTGTTCACACTTTGTCTTCTTCTCATTATCATGTATGTATGCCAGGTATCTTCCAGTCACAGACATTAAAAGATGTTAAAATCAGGTGTCTCAAGGTCTTGGAAAATACATTGTAGTTGATTGCAGTCCATTTTTCATAACTTGACCTACTGGCACATCTTATGCAGTAACATTATGACCTTGTTGGCATAGGTTTATTCCTTGGTCACCACTAGTGTAAAACATTAAGTCTATGGACTAACCGGGCAAAGCTAAAACCTTACATGTCACTGCAGATTTTGTATTTCAGCCATGCTTTACTAACAACTATTGCATGTTCATTATTACTAAATATGTATCAATTCTATATTTCAATTAATCCTACAACAGAAATTTATCATAACTTGATTATATATAAGTAGCATGGAAGTTGACCATAATATCACATAATACAATTATAAATGGATGATAAAATGAACTAATAGGCTAGATAGGATTACAGGACTAGGATGCAATTTGACTGGAGATTGACAATATTCTCAGCTAGGATAGGAGTTTCCATAGCATGCGAGACGCTAAGCATAAGTCAACTACTCCCCCACCACCCTCAGATTCACAAGAAAATCCTGCCTATTGGACCATTTAACAATGGTGAAATTGACAAGTGGAGAAAAAAGGAACTTTATTTCATTTATTTTGTCCTCAAGTTTTGCAACCACTATCTTGCCTCTCCATAGTAAAGCAATTCTGCACTGTATTTATCCAGCTGCCACATAGGTTCCTTGTCCTACCTTCCCACTCAGTTTTCCCCTAGCTTATGCAGTATGTCTTGGTGTGTTTGTAAGGAGATGGTAAGACATGATTGGAGGGAAGAAACATGAAACTGTGTAATCTTCCAAGGAACAAAGATGGCTGTTATTAACTTCAGACAACCAAATGTACATTTTCTCTAACAGCTCCATCTCCCACTAGTCTTCTTTCTTGTGGGCTGTGGGCAAGTCTCACAGATATTGGAGCACATTTCTTATTTTCAAACAATCATTTTATAGCTTCTGGCAAATGGATAATAGTGGTTCATGATAGGAATATTTAAATTTCTATCCACTAATTGAGTAGTCAATAAGGGGGGAAACTGCAGAGCCACAGCGGGGTTAGCTTATTGGGTAGTCAACTAGTCACTTACAACCCTAGTCCATGGGAAAATCAATACAATTATTGATTTATAGCTGTCTTGCTTGGGGACCTCATAAGGGTTGGAACAGATCAGGGTTTGGTCTTAAAATCAAAAGTGTAGTGCTAGAATAAGGGAAGATCTTGATAGGTATGTCTACACTGGGAAGTTATTTTAAAAAAACTCCCCTTCCTTCGAAATAACAAGGCGTGTGTCCACCCTACCAAGCTACCGAATAAGTTACAGGCAGTCCCCGAGTTACGCGGATCCGACTTATGTCGGATCCGCAGTTACAAACGGGGCTTTTCTCGCCCCGGAGGATGGGAGCGGCGGGACGCCCAGATGCACCGCGGTCCACGGCCCCTGTCCTCTGGGGCGAGAAAAGCTGCTCCCCGTCTCCCTGGTCTGCAGGGAGACGGGGAGCAAAGCCGCGGAGCACGCCCGCAGGGGGACAGCTCAAGCGCGCCCGGGCTGCCTGCTGCAGGGGTGCTCCAAGGCTTTGCTCCCCATCTCCCTGCAGACCAGGTGTGCCCTACCAGGTGTGCCCTGTGGGCGTGCTCCAAGGCTTTAAGACTTTTCTGGCTAAAACAAGAATAAACTTTCACTCCCACCTCTTTTTTTTTCTAATATCAAAGAACCATAAAGGGAAAATAAATTGATTTTCAATTCAGAAGAAATATTCATAATCCAACCTGCTCTAGTTGTGAAGTTTCCTGAAATTTCTTTCCCCAACATTTCTCAGAATTTTTTCTGATACCACCTTGGCTACGTCTACACTGGCCCCTTTTCCGGAAGGGGCATGTTAATTTCACCTATCGTAGTAGGGAAATCCGCGGGGGATTTAAATATCCCCCGCGGCATTTAAATAAAAATGTCCGCCGCTTTTTTCCGGCTTTTAAAAAAGCCGGAAAAGAGCGTCTACACTGGCCCCGATCCTCCGGAGCAGCAGCTGACCTGGGGACGCCTGAGTTTCTTAAGTTGAAACTGTACGTAAGTCGGAATTGGCGTCCAGATTCAGCAGTTTCAGCAGCGGCTGACGCCAGTTCTGACTTACATACAGATTCAGCTTAAGAACAAACCTACAGTCCCTATCTTGTATGTAACCCGGGGACTGCCTGTATTTCTAAATAATTCCTCATTGTGAAGAGGAATAAGCTTATTTCAAAATAGATAGTTTGGCAGGTATTTCGAAATTACCTGGTTGTGTAGACATAGCCAATGTGGGCCCTTTGTAACTAAACTGCATCTGGTTCTGGTTCCTGCCGTCACTTGTGGATCTTCATTTGGTTCATACAATAGGAGATTCCCCTGCCAGCTCTTCCAGCTACAGGTGTAGAATCACATGCTCCTTGTCTTCCAGGGTGACTGCTACACTCTCTACTGCCCCTTAACTCTGGCCCTCATCAGCAAACCCATTGGACAACGAGGCCAGCAAGGTTGAGGAGGCAGTCATGACCTACTTCAGGATCTGTATTGGGAGCCCTTTACATTACCCAGTCTAGCTTATCGTAAAAGGTGTAATGATCCCTCCAAAGCAACTATTAGTCATTTGTCCTCTTGTCAAGGAATTCCTGGCACTGAGCCAGAGTTGTCTGAGTTGCTTGCCTGCTTCAGCCTTTATGAAATTTCTAGGTGCTAGTGAATGTTCTTGACAGTCCAGATGGAGGATGGCATACTCTGACCATACATTCATCAGCACATTAGCACATGGTGTGATTGGTACACCAGGCACCTGTTCTCAGGCTCACCTATATTGATCAGTCTGAAGTGTAGTAGAGTGTTCTGATGTGGTGAACTCATGATTACCAGCACATGATTACCAGCAAAAAGGGTGTGCAGTGGAAGAAGACAGGGACCATTATAGATTGGGTAAGGATCACACAAAAAAGGGTACAGGCATTGTAGAACTGAGTGGTGGACTACTGAAATATGATCTGACATTGTGCCTCACTCACGCTGTGAACCGGTACAAAGTTGTCTCCGTCAAAGATTTGTACTTACCCGGACCCCTCAGCAGTTCCAACTTACTCACCTCTCAAGCATCAAGAATTTAGATAGATGTATGGATGCATGTGTAGATGTATTCTGAAATGCAGGGTGAAAGGCAACATCTATGCGGCTAGCAGGTATAGAGCACACTTAATAGTGAAGGGAGGGATAACTTTGACAGGACATTAGGCCAACCCCTTTTAGCTATTATTTTTGAACACACCTAATTGTCTAAACGCTTTACAGAATAAATGCAAAGACATAATCTCTGCCTTGAAGAGATCCATCATTAGTAGAAGGATGAAAGAATAGGTTAACTCACTGTTTCTTACCCTTGAACTATACATAGTGTTGCCTATGAAATGAAGATCCTATTATAATAAGCCTCACTTTAAACCTGCTTAAAATGTGAGACATTGTACTCACATCTGTGGTTTAGAATAGTGTTCAGTTTTTAGATAAATAATAGTGCCATCTAGTGGATATATAAAATACTGGTAAAATGTCAGTTTTATTTAGTGTTATAAAGTAGTTTCAGAAAATGCATTCATTAAATTTCTTTGTAGATAGGTGCATAAACTTTTTACAATCAATGAAAATAAGAAAATTTGGAAAAGTTCTGCATTCTGTGTTAGCAGTCTCTTCTCACATCTCTTGTAACTGGTGACATGGAAGATACTGAATTTATTCTAAAATCACCTTGCATGAAATGGAGCAAAACAGAATTTTCACTATCAGATAATTGCTTGTAACAATGAATCAGCAAACTTGCAGTCAAATCAGGATCTTTTATGAAATTTAAATTTAATTTGACAAAAGTAGGTAAAATTGAAAATGCTTTGAAGATGCCAATTTTCATATTTTTACAAAATTATAAAATTCACTTGTATATATTATAAAACTACAGGTAAAGAGTTCCAGTTGGATTCTAGGTCAGAGCATTATTAAAGCAGGACATAGTAGAAATTTTATTTATGATATGAAAGCCTTTGAAAATTGCCATTCCTAATGCTTTCGTAGTGTAAGTATTGAAGTCCCTCTTTGCCAGTGTATTCGGTATAGAATACAGCTTGGGAAGCAACAGCACAAGAACTGATGCCAGAATGAGTTAATTAGTTAACAAGAATTGGAGCCTCTTTTAGATAGGCAGCAAGGATGTCTGCAGGAAAGGGATGAGTGTAGATACTAAACCTGTCTGGGTATGGGGAGGAGACTGAAGTGGGAAATTTGCTTATTCATGGTGGTAGAAGAGAAACTTCCCCAATTTAAGGTAAAATCCTTGACACAATAAAATCCGTTGGAGTTTTGCTGTTGACTTCAATAGGAGCAGGATTTCACCCTTAATATTTTCCTATTGTCCTAATAACATAGTTTTATGCAGCTTAGGTGATACTTAGGAATTTTATTTTATACATTTGTAAGAAACAAAACAGTTATTTGCCCCTTCTATAAACTTCAGATAGGAGAAAACAGAGTTGATACAGTCAGTGAAATTATATTTAGTTCATTTTACTGTGATTTAAATTTCCAGTCTACTCAGATGTTATGTAATTAAACTGCATCAATGTGTCTCTCCAACAGGGAGCAGTGATCCATATGTCAAGTTTAAAATTGGAGGAAAAGAAGTGTTTAGAAGTAAAACTATACACAAGAACCTCAATCCTGTGTGGGAGGAAAAAACTTGCATTCTTATTGATCATCTGAGAGAACCATTGTATATAAAGGTGAGTCATGCACTTATTTTGCTTCTGTAGAAGTTTTGCTGAACAATTCTAGATACTGTTTGTTCTCTGAAAAAAGTTTATCGTGTAATTGTACATGTCAAAAGGACAGGCTTAGCTAATTTTCTTTAACATTTTTAGCAAAGCAGTTGAAATAACTTTCCTGATTTTACAAAAATAGAATGAAAAACAATTTTAAAATGTAAATACATCTTTCATGTTGTCATTTCAGACAATAGCATGATAGTGCATGAAAGTCAGAAAATGAAGCTGATTAAAAACAAGACGTCTATATTCCTTATCCAAGATGAGCAAATGCAAAATTAAGAAATAAGTGCTAGGGTTGTTGGATATAATTTCTTTTAGTAATCGAGTACCCTCCAACAATTTTATGCGGTTATTAAAGGCTACCGGGTGTGTGTATGGCCGTGTGTGTGCGTGTGCATGCGCAGGGAGAGGGCAGGCCGCATTGCAGGAGCCAATACACAAGGGGTGCTGGCTTGAAAGCCAGCTTCCTGAGTGTACTGGCTCTAGCCTGTCCCCCTCACCCTTGGCACTATTGCCTCTGTGTCAAAGACAGCAGCATAGGGGTTCCAGTTGCCCTCTGTGCTGCTGGCCTCTGTGGGAGTGAGCTTGGGGGTGGGAAAGCAGCTCTGCAGGAAGCAGCATGCACCAGTAGCTGGCTTAAAAGCCAGCTCCCTGCAGGCACTGGCTCTTGCCTTCCCTGCCCCACCCCACACAAGCAGCAAGTGTGTGTGTGTACTTGTTTGGATTAATAGATAACTCCAAGCTTATTGGTTATTGAAATGACTATATGCTAACAGCCCTAATAAACACCAGTAATTAAGACAAATTAATTAGGCTTCAAAAAAACCTTCCATTTGAATAGTCTGTTTATTAATAAAGAAAAGGAAGAAAATAGTTATTTTAAAGTATTTTTAATTTGTGTTCATGGGAATGCACTACAAATGTCTTTCCATTTAATAAATGGTCCTTTGTTACGTCATATTGAAAAATAGTTGTTTGCTGAAGGGTAATTTCAGGCTGATACTATAGAGTGGTGAGTCCTTAGCTCCACACCCCTGCAAGGGGCGGGGTCAAGGGCGGTCAGACATTGTGGCTGCCTAAACTTGGGCATACCCTTCCCTCACCAATCCTTTAATAATAGTCTTTGCTTGTATCTTCATTGGGAGAGTAAATAAAACTTTTGTCTTTTTTCCGAATTATTTTTGGGGAAGTAGAACTCTAAGGCTCTTGGTGTTCATATAGACATAGTTGATATCTTTTTCATAATTTATTGAAATGTGAGATGTGCTTTACACTGTTCTGTACTAGTAAGGTGACCATATTTTCCTATGCTGAATATGGGACACCTGGTAAAATTGCTCAGATTTAAGTGACTTCAATGGCAGCCAATCAGAACAATGCAGTGCAGATGTTCAAAATAATATTGACTGAGCATCCATTAAAAAGACATACTGCATTATTATAACTAAAATAGGTAAAAAAATTAAAACTATATATTTGTAATTAAGTGGTTGCTGCTCTTTAGAAGTGCCTGCTTTGTCCTCATCGTGTTGTCCTCCATAATGTGAGGGCTGGTAGTGTGAAGGGGAGCTGTAGGGGGCTGGGTGAGTGTGGGTGAGGACAGGAGGCTGGGGGTACAGAGATCAGGGCAGGAACATGTGTGGGGGAAATGGGATGGGAATGTATGGGGTGGAGATGCATGAGTAAGTGCAGAGCGCTGGTCTGGAACTCTTGGGACCTGAGTGGTGCTGTACAAGGAAGTTTGCCAGGCCAGGGGATCTCATGCCTGGCTGGGCTGTGCTCCCTGCATTCTGGTAGTTGCTGGCTGCACTCCTGGCCCCTTGGCAGCTGCCGGTGTAACTGACACACCTGGGCTACGTCTAGACTGGCCCCTTCTCCGGAAGAGGTATGCAAAGCAGGCAAGTCAGAATAGGGAAATCTGCGGGGGATTTAAATATCCCCCGCGGGATTTAAATAAACATGGCCGCCGCCTTTTTTCTGGCTTGGGGAAAAGCCAGAAAAGAGCATCTAGACTGGTGCGATCCTCCGTAATAAAGCCCTTTTCCGGAGGATCTCTTATTCCTACTTGCAAAGATTTCCCTATTCTGACTTGCCTGCTTTGCACTTGCAAGTAGGAATAAGAGATCCTCCGGAAAAGGACTTTATTCCGGAGGATCGCGCCAGTCTGGACGCTCTTTTCCGGCTTTTCCCCAAGCTGGGAAAAAAGCGGCGGCCATGTTTATTTAAATCCCGCAGGGGATATTTAAATCCCCCGCGGATTTCCCTATTCTGACTTGCCTGCTTTGCATGCCTCTTCCGGAGAAGGGGCCAGTCTAGACGTAGCCCTGGTGTGGTTCACTGTCCCATGTAGTGGCACTCAGACCACTTACCGCGAGAGATAAGAACAAGGGAGCTCTTCAGCCTAAGCAGAGAGCCAGCTGGCTTTATCGCTCAAGCTGTAAATGCTCCTACACTAAGCTCCAGACTCAGGTTCAAATCTGCCTTGTGGCAGTTTGGTACCACTTATAATCACCACCCAGCAGATTTGAACCTGGAACCTCCCGAGCTTAGTATCTGAATCTCTACAGCTTGAGGTATAAAGCTCCCTTGTTCCTACCTCTCACTGTAAGTGGTCTGAGTTCTACTACGTGGGACAGTGAACCACACTGGGCTCCCAGCCAACAGCTGCTAGGGCTCTGATCCAGGGACTCTCTGATCCAAAACATCTATTGTCCTGACAGATCATAAATGGTGCCAAACCAAAGAGTCCTGAGCCAGAAAGGTTCAACACGTATTATCTGATATAATGTTAGTGTTGTGAAATTTCAAAGCCTGATTAGTGCCAACTGCAGTGCCAACTGAAGTTAATCTGAGTAAAGGTGCCATTGCTGGGTCCCTAGTTTTCTAAATTTTTGTTTTGTCTAACTTGTAATGGTTGTTTTCTTTGTGTTCTTTTTTTTTCCCCATCCATTTTCTCAATTAGGTCCCCCTCTCTGGCTTTTAAAAGGGTGAAGGAATAATTTCCCCCACATCATTGGCACTAATCTATGCAGTGACCAAAGACTTCTCTCCAGGTTTTTGTAAGAGGTTTGTCAAGATGAGAGGTGGCCAAATTTACTTCTCCTGGGTGCTCAAATGACAATCTTCAGAAGTTCAAGAGCCGGGGTGCACCTACTGGGGCTCAGGGCTTCATTCCCAGGAGAGGCACCAGAGTACTCAGGAATTCAGCTCTGCTCTGCTGAAGTCCTGAGCCCTGGTAGATATGCCTCATGAGACTAAAGACCCAACTCCCCACTGGGCAGAAGCCCCTATCCCAACTTCTGCTGCAGGGCAGAAGTTCTGAGCTCTTCCCCCTAGTCTGGTAGGTGGAGAATGGGGAGGGGCCTCCGCAATCTGCACTTGAACTGTAGAAGTGCCTCCACTGGTGTAGATTCTGTATGAGATCTGCCACCATATGGTAGGCAAGTCAGTTAACAGCTACCACATACTGATTTATTGACTTTTCCAGTGATAAAATCCTCCTATATACATCTTCTGATTCCTTAATTTAGATGGGAATGCCTTTTTAAAGAAAATTCTATAAAGCATCATGCAAAATTATATTACTAGAAGTGTATTAGTAGTCATACTGCAACTACAGTCCATTTACTTTTGATAACTATATCTCAGTCCTCTGGCCTGTGCTTTATAGACTCATTCACTGCAACAATTTAGGTATACTTCATAAACTGGAAGCTGAATCTGTGGAGTTTTTTAAAATCTTACTTCCATTTTTCCTCTTCAGTCTCAATGGGTTTGTTATCAAATTTCTTGTTCTGTCAATAGAAGGTTTATATTGTTCATTTATGCAGTCCAGATCTGATAGTTCCTTGGACATTTCCATATGTAGGTACACTGTGCACCTTCAAATGTTGATTTACTTACCTCAAGTAAGAACCCTACGGTAATCCTGCTTTAACAGAATGAAAATCCACCCTGAGAAATGAACACTTAAGGAAGCTTTTAAAAAAAATCTAATACTATAAATACTTTTTTTTCTTGTGCATCTTAGGTCTTTGACTATGATTTTGGTCTTCAAGATGACTTTATTGGTTCAGCCTTCTTGGATCTCACTTCACTAGAATTAAACAGGTATGATATAGGTGTGAAAGTCCATGGAGTCATACATGCACAGTCCTCAAGGTGTCAACTAATCTCATACTTGTAATATTTTCAACAGTATTTTTAAAAATAACAATCCCCTGCCACTTTAGCTTATCAGGCAAAGAGCACATAGCTTTAGGACATTGCTGTAACATTAATGCTAATGGTAATACCATGTTGAGTCGTACATAACTCTGCAGCCATTTTATTTCTGTTCATGAGTATTGTTCTGAGCTTTACCTCATCTTTAGGCATATTTATTTCAATGAAATAGAAGAAAACTAAAATTCAGACTGAATTATTGAATGTACAGTAAGATGCTTGGAAAGCGTGAAGTGTGAAATTATCAGGCCTCTGACCAAACCAGTTGGGACCAAGGATTTAAGCAGGACAAGTCTGAGCCTGAGAGTAGCAGAGGCATTCAGAGACAAGTTCCAGGCCATGGTGCATGTGAAAGATCAGAGTCTGAGAGGGGTTTCAGAGTCTGGATCAGGTCAGGAGGAAAAGGCCAAAAGAATCTGAGGTTGAAGCCAAAAATACAAGAGGATGAATGAAATAATTGTGGCAGCTACAGCAGAAGTATACAGTTGCCAGGACACTTGGGGAACATCTCTTATTTTTATATGTGGCAGGGAGCTAATCAGCAGCTGTGGAGGCTGCTGCCTTGTAGATCTTTTGAGGCATTATTTCCATAGTCTGTGTCCACAGCAAATCGTAGGTAGTGGGGCATGCGCTGGTTATAGTTGTTGCTGAGTGGCAGCCTGGCAACTCCGCAGGTCCAGGTTTGAGAGTGGCTGTCTTACACAAATGTATTCAGAGGTCCGTCCTTAAGAATAGAGGTAAACTAAATCACATTAAAGTAATAGGGTTTTTTTTAGATTATTTTCTAAGATTAATTTAAATGTGGATGCTATTGAGCCTAATGCTTCAGAAAGGTCATTGAATTGGTGCTTGAAATACAAAATAAATGTGTCCTTTGGTCCTCTAGACCAACAGATATCACCTTGACTTTGAAGGACCCTCACTATCCTGATCATGATTTGGGAACTTTATTATTATCAGTTCTACTGGCTCCCAAAGAAGAACAGAGGGAAATGGTAAGTTTTAAAGTTTCAAGTAAGCGTTAACTTGTTCTCACTTACAGTGTATAGATAATGTGATTCTTCCATGATCAGATGATTAGTATCTTGAAACAAATTTATGTTCTCCATTTCAATAAATAAACACTACTGGTCACTGTTTGACACATTTGAGCATCAAATGACCTACTTCAGACCAGATCCTCTTGTGAAAAAAGTGAGGCATCTGGATGGAACATAAATATACAACAGTCTCAAATAAAGCTTTAGGTGAATGTTTATAACCAATGTGGAAGTACCCCGAGGAACTATTTTCTTGTTATAGAATTTTGGACCTGGTACTGCAGTGTCCAAAATTGCAATAATTAGAATTTCTACTTCTTGGCATTTAATTGTGGAAATCCAGGACACACTTTGATGTCTTCGTAAGGTGCTATAAATGAAATTGCCCTTTCTTTTCTGCCATGAGAAAGTCAAGGGCTTTGCATAAAGATGATGGTCGGGAACAAGGGTTCAGAGATTGAGAGAAGCACAAAAATAAATACATTAGATAACTTAATCAAGCATTTTTTTGTAAGGATGTATTTAATTAAGTCAAGTTTTTACCAGATAGCTGTTTGCTTCAAGAAACCATTAGTGACATCTTCAACATGTTGTACTTGATGCAGCTTTATAAACTAGTTCTCTCTCATTTTTAGTTGAAATCTATAGACACAATTTTATATAATTTACAGTACAGAACTTGAATGCAGCTGTAGATTTAAAAAATGTGAAGGTTAAGTAATAAGTATTAACATGTATGTTGCATCAGGTTTTATTCCTGAACATTTTTACTTTTATTTTTTATCCCTACTGAAAATCTATCACTTTTCAGTCAAAGGATGATGTCATAGAATCAGGGAGACAACAGCAGTAACATCAAAGTGGAAAAAGTTGACTTTGTCGGCACTTTGGCCATTAGATGCAGGATACTTGACTTTTTGAAGTTTAGGATACCTTTTTATTATTACATATGTCATTAAATTTGATGTGTTATGTAAAATTTCTCCAGTATATGTCCTATTGAGTGTCAAGACACTTAGGTGATTTTGAAAATATTATCCTTTGAGGTTTTTTCCAAAATGCCCTAATATAAATTCATCATTTAGCTTGGCTCCTTTCTTCTGTTGACTTTTGAGTTGCAAGTGCTGCAAGCCAATTTACATTAGAAATGTAACTGACTACAGTTTGAACAAGTCCTATAAAATAGCTTGGATTCTCTTTTCTATAACACACATCTTTAGTTCTTCAGGGGCAGAAAACTGTTGTAATTTCATGAACAATTCCTTTATTTAAATTATTAGGAAACCTTATTCTAACCCCCTAGAATTTCACAAAGGAAGTGGCAACAATCCCTTCTGGAAAGCATCATCAACTCTTTGACAAATTTTACAGTTAAATGAGTTTTATGGCCCGCAGTATGATCATTGACTTCTTGGTAAATCCTTCTCACTGCATTTTGCATTCTTCTTCTCAGTGGACCACCTAAGAACATAACCGGTACTTCATGGCATTTGGATTGGCATATTTGTCTTTTATTGCTGTGATTTAGAAATAGATTTTATGTGAAATAGATTTCAATAAGTATTCCCTCCTGCACACCAACACTGAAATAATCCTTTTGCTATTCTGGGTGTTCAGTAGGGAGTGTAAAATCTGCCCACCAAAGCCAATATCAAACATAAGAAGTCTTACTGCCAGAACCAAGGATCAGAGGTCAAATGCTACTATGCTAAGTGGCTTAAAAGTAGATAGAAGAAGAAAAATTGTCTTTCACAGATGATATTTTACTGTGTATGATACAGGGTTGTAGAATTCAGTACGTAGTCTTGTTGGAATCTCAAACTACTACTGTACTACGTACTACAAAATGAGGAATGCTGTGGAGGACTAGAACATTGTTCATTTTTCCTCCAGCTATAATTAAACTATTTAACATGCCACTACATGGATGTCTATGTCAGGTACTTAGAGTGATGTAGATTCAGAGTTCTGAAAAAAATTCTCCAACTGTTTATCCCTCCTCATGACATTCTGTAAAAGGTACTTGGAAAAAAACACAAACCTATTATATTCATGTTCAAAAAACGCAAGTGCCTTGTCTCTTCTAAATAACGGCTTAATCCATTTTGCTCAGCGCAATACTCTACAAATTTACATCACAATGACAACAACTTTTGATAATAAATTGTAAAATATCGGAGATTAAATCTTGTAATTAAAGCATTAATGAGCAAACAGCTAATGATCCTGTTTCTCAAATTGACTAATTCGAGAAATTGGAATTCTACTTTTCAGGGGTGAAAGTAATTTAAATTTCTTACAGGTACAGGTATTTCTTACTATTGTATTGCCCCCTTTGGGTGAGGCCTCAGAGCAGAGTTTTGGGGGTGGGATATGACAGTACCTGAAGAAATTTGTGTGAGGTGGAATGTTGGGCATGTAGGAGTTGCAGGAGTCAGGGCATGAGACTGGGTGTGAGGTAGTGCAGAAATCAGGGTTGGAGGGTGTGAAGAGGGACTCAAAGCAGGCAGCTGGGTGTGTGGAGGGGTATAGGAATTGAGGCTGAAGGTGTGTGGGGGAGCTCTGGACAGGAAGTTCCTGTGAGTAGAGGGAGTGCAGTTCCTCCTGCTGCTGCTTGTTGCTTTCTCTTCCCTTTCCCGTTACTGTCAGAGAATGAGAACACAGCACACAGTATGGGTCGCTCACTTGTCTGCCCCCTCCCCACACCA